CGCGCCGTCCCCGCTGAGCCCGCGCCCGGCTTGGGCGCCGCCCGCCACCATGGTGCAGAAGTCGCGCAACGGCGGCGTGTACCCTGGCCCGAGCGGGGAGAAGAAGCTCAAGGTGGGATTTGTGGGGCTGGACCCCGGCGCGCCTGACTCCACGCGCGACGGCGCGTTGCTCATCGCCGGCTCCGAGGCCCCCAAGCGCGGCAGCATCCTGAGCAAGCCGCGCGCGGGCGGCGCGGGCGCCGGGAAGCCCCCCAAGCGCAACGCCTTCTACCGCAAGCTGCAGAATTTCCTCTACAACGTGCTGGAGCGGCCCCGCGGCTGGGCGTTCATCTACCACGCCTACGTGTGAGTGGCCGGGGCGCGGCGATCCCAGCCCGGCCGCGGGGCACGGCGGGCCCCGGGTGCGGGCCGGGGTCTGGGTCAGGGAACCGCGTCCCTGGTCGAAGCAAAGGGCGGCGACCGGAGCACGATTTTGGAAGTTCGCCTGCAAGGAGTTCTGGGGTCGGGCCGGTCCGGGGGCAGTGGGGCGCCCGGCCGGCCGGCTGCACCGGCCCCTCCCCAGCGGCGCAGGCTGTGCGGCGCCGGAGCCCCCTCCCCCGCAGCCTGGGAGGCCCCTCCCCGCGGCCCGCTGCGCGGAACAAAGGGCCGGCGGCGAGGGAGCACTGCGCAGCTGGGGTCTGGCCCCGGGCTGGCTTCTCCTCGCCGCCCTCCCAACTTCTTGCCTTCCCCTGGAGCTTCTGGGCCGCTGAAATGGGCAGAGGTCCCAGCTTCCCCGCGCTGGGTCCTGGTGAGGACCGCTGCCGGTGCTGCCCTGTCTGTATGTGAACCCATCCTTGGCTGGACCTGGGTGTCCTCGCCGTTGGGCCCAGTGCAGCCCCGAGCTGCTGGCTGCCCCTGGCGCTCTGGTCCCCGGACCCCGTCCTGCAGATAAAGGTGGAGATCGGGAGCTGCTGCGCGGGGTCGAGCATCCAGCCCCCACCCGAGGCCTCACGAGGGTGCTGAGCCTCTTGGGCAGGGCTGGCGGGCAGCCGTTGTTTCGTGTGCACATGGATGTTAGCGTGTGGTACTGCGTGAGGATTGTGTGTGACTGCGTGTGCGCGTGCGAGTGCGTGTGTGTGTGCACGGCCTCCCGGTGTGAGGTGCTTCATTCCCATCCTAGCTAAGGCAGGGCTGCAGGGAGAGCCGAGACTCAGCCATTTTGTGTGAAAGAGGCGTTTTGGAATGGGAATGAGGAATGAATTATGGGAAAGTACCCAGACAGGTGCCCACCAGGGCTGTGAGGGTGTGTGACCTGGGACAGGGGTGGGGTGGGGGGTTCCCTGGCGGTGCTAGTGCTGTGAGAACCAACAGCGTTGAGTGACAGCCCTGCCTCCCCCAGAGAAGTGGATCTGGCTTTCCTCAGCGCCAGGGCGCAGGGTGCCAGGGGCCAGCGTGTCGCTGCCTAATTCTCAGAAGAGCCCATGTGCCCTCATGTCTTCTGGCTGCCACCACCTCCGTCTCTGACTGCCCTGGCTAACCCGGTCATGGCCTGTGACTTTGGGACCATGCTCAGGATGAAGCTCAGTGTTCCCAGGGCTGGGAGGGGACACGCTGGGCTGGTGGCCTCTCCAGGGCTCCCTGGGTGAGGTGCCCTCTGTGTAGCCCTGTCCCCCGGTCTGGGCTAGTCGGCCCTCATTCCTGCTGCCTTTCTCTCTGTCCCTTCTCCAAGCTGAAGCATCCAGAACGCACAGCAGAGTGTGTGGGGCCCTGGCAGAAAACAGGCTGAGAAAGGTTGTCCCGATAAGCAGGTTCTGTGTCTTTCCAACCTGGACGTGCCTGCCGGAGGGTGAGACCCTCACCTTCAGCCTGCCTGAGGCCTCTCCTCCTCTCTTGAAATGCCAGCTCCCTGGCAGGAGTGGCTGTGGGGAGGAGGCCCCACTGCAGTGGAGCTTTCTTGTGTGGGGCCAAGGCAGCAGGAGCCAGAGTGCTTAAAGAGTAGGAGTCTGGGGGCTGACTTGGGAGCACTCAAGTCTCATCTCAGTCTTTGCAGACCCTTGTTTCTTCATCAGCAAAGTGGGTACAGCTGCCCCTACCCCTGGGTTTGTGAAGCCAGACAGAGAAGGGTGTCTAGCCCTTCCTGGCTACCCAGTGGCCACCATGTGGGGTAATACAGCTTATAGCTGTTGTTACTCATCACCAGTTCCCCACGTCCCCCGGTGTAGAGCCTGGATGGCGTGAGCTTCCCAAGTGTGGCCAGCCCATGTTGCCTGCTGGCCCGGCACACACTGGCCTGTGCTATGTGTCAGGCCCCACTTGGCTTGTTCATTAGTTCATAAGGAAGACTGAGTCTCCCCTAGGGCCTGAAGCAGCCAGTGGAGGCTCGGAGTGGATGTGAGTCCTGTGCCTGGCCAGTGCTAGGCCTTGCGGGCCATTCTCTGTCTTTTCCAGACGTAGTGCTCTGCCAGGCTTTCAGCTGGCTCTGCTACATTTGTGGAGGACTGCTGCTGTCCAGAGTCAGGAGGAGTGTGTCTGCCCCATAGCAGGGCCCAGTGACATAGCCTGGTGGGGCCAGGGCCATTGCACACTGTCAGCCCCTGGAGGTAAAGGCCTACCCTGCCTGCGGTGCAGCATGGGCGGGGCCTGCTTGACTGGCACCCCTCCCAAAGCCAGTGGGGCCGTGGGAAGGGCTTCACAGCGCACAGGTTGCCCACAGGGGCCTGGCTGCCTGGGCAGTAAGCTACCTGGGTGAGCCCTGAGGACCCTCTGTGAGCTCGAGTCCAGCATGCCATCCGGCTTTCATGCTGCCCACCGTGCACGAGGAGCTGGGCAGTCACAGCATTGGTCTCCATGTGGCTTGGTAGCAGAGGGAATAGGAACGAGGCACAAGATGCTCCTGTTGTGTGCTGCCTCACTTCCTTCTCACTGCCAACCTGCCAGAGAGATGTAATGGGGAAACAAGGCTGAGAAAGGTTGTCCTGAGAAGCAGAGGTGACTCCACTCAGGGGTGAGACCTTGGAGGTGCAGGTGGCTTCCAACATCGCTTCCCCTGAGTGGACAGCAGGTGAGAGCATGAGAAGGCCAGATGGAAAAGCTGGGGCTGAGGACTGTGCTGCCCTGGGGCACCCCACGGGCAGGCTCCTCGGTCCCCCCAGGTACAGCTGCACTGGGGAGACCTCTGAGCTTGCAGGGCTGGGGCTGCTGGCCTGCCTGGTGTCACCTCCCAGGAGAGAGGAGCGTGAGGGGCCTTACCTCAGGCTCCCGCTGGCCTGGGTAACCTTGTGTGGTGGAGCCCAGGCTGCCCTCGGCCCTTCCCACAGCCCCACTTTCATTTACCTGCCCCTGCCTTGGCTGGCTGCTCCCAAGGGGCAAGTGCACACCTGCTGTCCCGAGTGCAGGAAAGAGAGGTGGCCAAAGAAGAGGTTGCCGCGCTTGGGCCCCGAGCACAGTGGAGGGGAGGGAGATGGAGCAGCGGAATGGTGGTCTCAGCCTCCCGCAGGTCTTCCACAGCCTCCTCTCTAGGGAGGGGAGGTGATGTCTATCGATTGAGGAGTTGGAGGATCTTATGGAAATTTCCCAAAAGATGAAAATGCCTTAGAGAGTTGCGGTTTCCAGGGAAACCTGGATTTGGGGGGGCCAGGACTTGTCCAACTCCGCAGCCTCCTCGCAGGATTTCTAACCCTCACCAATAATTTGAAGTGAAATTACTGTGAAAGCATGGAACACTCTTAATCACACTGTCTGATTACTTGTGGAGTAAATTTCAACATTTTTCTTGCTGCAAGGCAATAAAACAAGTAATTAACAGGCGGGCAGGAAGCTCTCTGGGCATTTCACAGATTAGAGAGCAGAAAACCTCAATTTTATAGGATTCTGCACAAGTCTGATGTTCAAACCAGTCTGTACAGAGATGTTGGGAGAATGCACCTTGTGGCCGGCAGACCTGGAGGCGTTCAACGTGGACCCTGCATGTCCTAAGAACCCTCGATCCCCGATGCTGGCCATGTGTGCAGGAGGTCTGACGGCAGTTCTGAGTGTGCTGAACCTGGGAGCCCTGAAGAGCTGTGAGCGCATCCTAGGCTGAGGGTCAAGGCTGCTGGCGGACAGGGTGTGGCCACTGTTTCTCCATGTTGCTTTAGCTGGTGACCCAGTCCACAGACCTCTGTTGGCGCATGCGCTTCAGTGCAGCCACACAGTGCTGTGTCCACAGCACTGCACGCCTGCCTGAGCCAGGGCTCTGAGCACCTCAATATTGGAAGGCACAGGCTGACCTGGCCCTGGCCCGGAGGGGTGCATATCCCCTCCTCCTGCTTAGACGAGGGGCTGGGCTGGCCTAGTTGTTGGGTGGTCAAGGCAGGACAGCAGGTCCACTGCACGCTGTTGGGTTGAGTCCAGGGAAATGGGCCAGGCTGTAGGACCACGGGCCCTCTGGGGACTTTGTGGAGGCTGCTGACATGGGCTTTGGTCTTGGCCACACAGTGGCTGGGCTGCTGCAGGAAGGATGGAGGGGCTGTGGTCTATGTGCTGTTTGCTGTCCCCTTGAGTTGGGTAGGACAGTCAGGGCCAGGGCCAGGCCTAGACTCTGACCTTATCTTGCAAAAGGCTCAGGTGAAAGCAGAAGGCCCCATTAGAGGGGAGGTTGCTGGGGCCCAGGCTGGTGGTGCCTGCTGTCCCTTCCTGAGGGGAAGCTGATGAAGGAGTCAGTGCCCATGGTGAGGGACCTTGGCTTGTGTCCCTGCTGTTCCAAATAGCACCCATGCAGACTCCTGCTGTGGGTTGCTTTGGATATTTTTAAGTATAAATGAGGCTTACCTTGGAGGCAGAAGTGGCTAGCTGGGACCTGTGGGTTGAGGGCAAAGGTGGCCTCATCCCCCCACCCAGGGCCTACCCCCTGGACCTCTAACTGCTAGCTGAATGCTTCAGTGGGTGTAACTAGAGGAGATTGGCTGAGGGCCAGAGTCACCTCAGGGTGAGTGCGTAAGGGTGGCCAGGGTTGGAGCCAGGGACCTGGCTGGCCAGCTCTGGATATGGTTGCCGTGTCTGGTTGTGGTGGGATTAAGTTCACACAGCTCTGTCACTGTGATCCTTATGGCCACCACTGAGCTTTGGCAGAGGGGCCTCTGCCCCTGGACTGGGAAGGACAGTGGCTGGCCCTGACCTAGATGGTGTCTCTCAGCCTCCTGCCCCTCAGCCAGGCTGTTAACAGCTATAGGCTGGATCTTGATGGGCTCTTTGGGTGGCCTGGGTAACTGTTCTTTGGGCTGCTGCTTACAAGAGGCTATGCATCCTGACCTGGGGCCCAGGTTCTGAGCACCGGAAGGTCCCGAGCATCAGAGACCTCTGTATTTGTCCAGTGGAGCTGGCCACAC